ATGCCCAGATGGAATGGTCTCCAGATGGCCCCTCCTTCAGTTTCTGTCCCGCTCCTTGTCTCCATATTTGCTCCCTTGAGTATTTTGTTACCCCTTCTAAGAAGCACTCACACTTTGGTCTTCCTTCTTAATGAGCTTCATGTGGTCTGTGAATTGCATCTTGGATATTGTGAGCTTTTGGGCTAATATCCTCTTATCAGTGAGTGCATACCATGTGTGTTCTTTTGTGATTGGGATATTTTATAGTTCCATCCATTTACCTAAGAATTTATTGAATTCATTGTTTCTAATAGCTGAGTAATACTCCATTGTGTAAATGTACCACATTTTCTGTATCCATTCCTCTGTTGAAGAACATTTGGGTTCTTTCCAGTTTCTGGTATTATAAATAAGGCTGCTATGAACATAGTGGAGCATGTGTCCCTGTTATGTGTTGGATCATCTTCTGGGAAAATGCCCAGGAGTGGTATAGCTGAGTCCTCAGGTAATGCTATGTCCAATTTTCTGAGGAACTGCCAGACTGATTTCCAAAGTGGTTGCACCATCTTGCAGTCCCACCAACAATGGAGGAGTGTTCCTCTTTCTCCACATCCTCTCCAGCATCTGGTATCACCTGAGTTTTTGATCTTAGCCGTTCTGACTGGTGTGAGATGGAATCTCAGGGTTGTTTTGATTTGCACTTCCCTGATGACTAAGGATGCTGAACACTTCTTTAGGTGCTTCTTGGCCATTTGAGTTTCCTCAGCTGAGAATTCTTTGTTTAGCTCTGTACCCCATTTTTAATAGGGTTATTTGGTTGTCTGTAGTCTAGTTTCTTGAGTTCTTTGTATACCTTGGATATTAGCCCTCTATCGGATGTGGGATTGGAAAATATCTTTTCCCAATCTGTTCATTGCCTCAGCAAAGAGGAGCAGTTCTGTAAATGGAAGGACTCGGCTCACCAAATTCTCTTCTTTCCAAACCCCAGCTGAATAAGAACATTAGGAAGGGGAACAGCAGACTCATTGCCTCTGGCTTTCACCTCATCTCACATGAGTCAGAAAAAGTCACATGAGCCTATGCTGCGAATGGGCTACTGCTAAAGTGTGTATGTCCGTGCTTCTCTCCTGTTGCTTCAGCTTAGGCATCAGAATACATGATCATAGGTACTGTGAAGTTAGAAACGCATTTAGTTCCAGGTTAGAACAAAAACAAGACTGATTGTAGCATAAACAAAAGTAGACTCTGATTTTTCATTTCTAACAAGCTGTCCTGGGAGAGACAGCACAGGTTAGAGAACAGTTAACAAGGCTGCCAGAGTCAGAGTGGTCCATGCCTTCTTGCTTCGAAGTCCCTGCAGAAAGGATTCTATCCACAGGAAGCCCGCAGAGTTTCCACTAGATGAGACCTGCCAGGCTAAAGAGGAAGTCCTATCCTATGAAACGATATGGCAGCCAAATCTCATCCATGCTTAGGAGGAGTTGGGAGAGGGGAAACCGTGATCAGAATATATTTTATTTATAAAAAAAAGTTTCATTAAAAAAAATTGAAAGCCAAATAAGCAAATCAACCCTCCATCTCTCTTGGAAGACAGAGTGGTGCACACAGTGTGACCATCACTGGAAGGTACTCTTCCTCTTGCATCTAATTGGTGCACACAGTGTGACTAGCTGAAAGGTCAGGAGAGAAAAGAGACTGGCTGACCACTGCATGTGCATACCCAAAAAGATCTGCCACAAACAGCTCCAGGCACCTACTTAACAGCAGGTATATGCAGGTGTTACAGCACTGTTGTTGTCAGTGCTGAATTATATACTTTGTAACTTGTTCTTTTCTTGATACCTTAGCAACTTGGAACCCTCTCTCAGGTTTGAGTTCATGGCTAAATCTTGCATGTAACCATGCAAAACAGAGGTGCAGGCAATGTGTGTAAATCATAGCATTTCCTTCTGCTTCTGCCTCATATAAGGAACTCTCTGAACCTCCTCAGAAATAATCTTAAATGTTTTCACAAGTGCTGAGGTCAGGGAATGTGGGACTGTACATGGCAGACTGTGTGGTGTTGCACACATGGCTTTCTCCGAAGGCATCCAGGACACAGAGGATGTCTTTTTAATGCAAAACAAATTCAATGAAGCCTTGTTGGGTGTCTAATAACCTCCATTCTAAGTGATAATACAAAGCAACTCTCAGAGCTAAAAACAGCACTTAATTCTCTCTGTGTCCCTGCTTTGTCTCTGTCTCTCCTGTCTCTGTCTGTCTGTGTCTGTCTCTCTCTGTCTCTCTCATACACACACACACACACACACACACACACACACACACTTCTTAAAGTTGGAAAACCAAGGGAGTGACACAGACAGGTTTGCACCTACACGGCTCATTGCTGCATTTGTTCTGTGACTTTCATTGCACCAGTGGTGCTAAAACTTAAATCCAACACTTTATACTTTCAGGGTAACATGTTGTGCATTCTGGCATAAAAAGAAGTCACGGTTTTACAGTTTTCACATCACAATATAACTACATAATAACTGATAGCTCATGGTTTATAAAATAGCTGTAAGAAATTTTATTTCAAGTTGCAATGGTTCCCTCAATCTTAGAGTAATTGAAAGTGAAGACCCCCACTCCGGGGAGACCCTTACTCAAGTCTCAGGATGACTCGACCACCCAGTAATTCTCGCAAGACAGTGATACTGGATGCAACAGCAGAGGTTTATTCGAGCGGAACAGCTAGCTGTTGGTCAATTCATCTGCTCACGCAGGAGCTGAATTGACAAAGACAGCTGTTCTGAGAAGGGTTTTTAAAGGGGAAGACCACAAACCAGAGTGTGGAGGGGGTAAGAGGGTTGCTAAGGAGACATAATCTTAAAAATAGCGGAAAATTCCAGAGGAACCCAACCTACATGAGTCAGGGTCATGAGAAAAACACTCTGTATACCTATTCTTCTCAAAAATGTGGTCCTGCCCTGTCATTGTGGTCACCAGCTTCTTGGTTCCACCTAGCTGACTTGCATTCTTTTCTTCTCTTTTTGTGGTTAGCAAGTTCCTGTAACTAGCCTGCACACATTCTTAGCTTGCTTCACATTCTTAGCTTGCTTCAGAGAGAATTTTCCATGCCCTTTTAAAGAAAAACCTAAAGAATAATATATATATATATTTTATAAAACAATCTTCATAATTTTTCACTCTACAAAAGCAGGGCTTTGGAGTCCATCAGTGCTGGATTCTCATTGAGACCTCACCATTTACCATTCCCCCTGTTTCCTTGTCCATGTCCATTAAAAAGAAATAATTGTGCCTACTACTCAGCATCACTGTAAGCTTGACCGTGAGGAAGATAATGTGGGCACTGCACGTTGCCCAGTCTTTGGATTCGGTTGAGACTCAGCAAATGATCAGCTCCATTCTTTTTTTTTCCCTTTTAATTTTTTTATTGGATATTTATTTGCAATACAGATGTCATCCCCTTTCCCCATTTCTCCTCCCTAGAACCTCCATCCCATCCCCCCCTCCTCTTTATGTTTTTATACCGTTTTGATTACATGAATGTATTAAGGTCAGTTCTAGGTTGAGGGTCTACCAATGCAATAGATGCAAGTAGTCAAGGAACAAGCAAGACAATAAAATAAGTAGTCATAGTCAAAGAACAAGCAAGGCATTAAACCCAATTATGTGAATACTCCTGTGATCACCGTTTCTAAGGACTTATCAGGATGACCTTATCTGAGCTTACTTCCCTGTCCTAGCCCAAGGTCATTTTCATGTCTGAAGCCTACTTCCTTGTTCTAGTCTAAAATTTAGATTCCTGCCTGTAATTAGTTCTTTGTTCTAGATCAGCTGCATTCTTAATCATAAGCAAGTTGTGCATTTTCTATTTCTTAGCTACATTTACAAGGCCTGTAGGAATGAATATGGCATTTACTGGAATTCTCCTGAACATTAGACATTGAGGCTTTCTGTTTTCTTTCCATATTTGTCATTCAAGTAAAAAGTTTTAGTTTAAAAACAGTTTAATAGTGCTTATTATTCATTGTTGAGAAAGTCTGTATTTTAGAACCTTGATTCTCAATCCACAATGAACAGGTGGGCAACAGTCCACTTATTAAATAATGCCCTCTAAGGAAGTGTGTACATTTTTCTATGTGCATATGTATGTATACTAGAGAAGATTGTTGGATGGTGCTGGGCCTGCTTCAGAGTGGAAGACACATTTTCAGGGAATTTGAGTGCAGTTGGCACCCGAGTGGCTTAAGTGATCCATGTCACTGAAATGCAAACGTGTCCATAGTTTAATCCTGGATAGATTACAAATCCCTTGAGTTCTTTCTCTTTTTTTCTTCTAAAAATGATAATTCCTCTGTCTTCCTGCAATCAACTTGCCACTGTAGTCACAGGGTACTGATGTGACATTCAAAACATGAATTTGACTGATTTTGAGCACAAAGATTAAAAGTGTATTAAAGATTTTTAATACTGAATTCATGAGCATTAAAAATATTTTGTGTAATCTTCCACATTTTGTGGATAGTATTAAAACTTAATCATAATATGTTTTAATATACTTGTATCATCGTCATCAGTATTTGAATGCAGATGGTATTCTCCCAGGTGCCTACTCCAGTTTACTTATGCTTTCCCAGTTCTCCCTAGGTAGGCTCTGAGATTACTGCCAGCTTGTAATATCCACAATCATTTAATATTCACCATGTTTTTTATAAAATTGTCTTTGCATTTAGAATTGTTTCATTGGGATAGATTCCAGCTGCCAACATTAATGAGAGTAACATATGAGTTCTCAGTTTCAGATACATTTGAAAAACTTGATATATTAATGTTTTTTAAACGTCTTCTTTGGTTTAAATTGAATCTGTTAGACTTACTGAAACCTATTCTACAACTCAGATAAGTTTAAATGAGTGAAGTGAAACTGTGTGAGCAAACTGTGAGAACAGGAACTCAGTCTTCCCTGACACAGTGCTTGTAGAAGTATCCAATTTCTACTTTGTTTCTTTCAGTTTTACTGGAGATTCTAAGCTTGCCTCAAGCATGCGCTATGTGGAAACACAGTCCATGCAGATTGGAGCATCCTATATGATTCAGTTCAGCCTAGTGATGGGATGTGGCCGGAAACACACTCCCCACATGGACAACCAGGTGAAGCTGGAGTACTCAGCCAACCATGGCCTTACATGGCACCTTGTACAAGAAGTACGTATGTTTTCTCTAAAGCTCATGATTAGTGCCATTTTCCTTTAATTAAAACAGAAACAATATTATACAACCTAGAATTGACATCAAGTAAGAAATCTCACAAAGAGGCCATTCCCCACTAGTATCAGATATCAAAGAGCAATTGGAAATAAAAAATAAAATAAAACAATAAGAAGAAGAACCCAAGGCTGGACACTCTTGATAGTGTGTTTTGAATATTATTTCTCTAGCTCTCTTCCTCTGAAAATGTGTCTCTTCTTTCTCTATGGCATATTTTGTTCTGTTCTTTTCCCATCCATGTTCTTCTTTTACCATAAGAAATGTGGTACCTTAGAAACACACAATTAAGAACTATAATCTAATTTTTGGAATAAATTTACTTTACATAACACACACACACCAATATTCTGACAGTGTAATAAATGTAAAAATATTACAATGCATAAGATAAATTTTATAAATGCTCGTGCTAATAGATCAAAATGAATCCTCATCCATTTCCATTTGTGGTGAAAATTGAAAAATGTTTAATTCTATGGTGATATCTCAGTTGTAATTACTTCCCAAATGATTTTAGCTTCACAGAGGAAAAGATCATAAATTTAATCCCTAGTACCAGTTGCTAAAACTATGGCCATTAGCTTTCTCGAAGGTCTTTTTCTCTTGCAGTGGGAGATGAAACATGTCCAGTGGATAAATGGAAATTGAGTTTGGCTTCTTCCTCTTCTTTTAGGAATGCCTTCCCAGTATGCCAAGTTGCCAGGAATTTACGTCGCCCAGTATTTACCACGCCAGTGAGTTCACACAGTGGAGAAGACTCACTGTCGTTCTTCCTCAGAAGACATGGTAAGAAACAATGCCCTTAAATGTGTCCTCACTTCCATTCTTGCTCTGACTTTGCAGGACTTAGTGTGAAGATAAGGTCTACAGACTTCTAAGATCGTTCTCTCCCTACCCAGAAGCCCCGTGTGTCTTAATACTCAGGGTTGCAGACAATGGAGCTAATGAGAAATATGACAATTTTATTTTACAGTGTCAGCTGCTTCTGGCCTCTCTTCTTGCCTTGAAATTTTGTTTTTGTGGCAGAGCTCAGTGAGCCCACTTCTTTACATTTGGCATTCAAGACAAAATGATGTAAGGAATCTAGAAACCTAAGTCGTTTGGATTACAAATTTCTTTTCTCTCATTGCATTGTGGAGCCCAACTTTTTATATCAAAAAACTTAACACGCATTCTTTTCCTAGTCACGCTTTTTTAGTAACAATAGAAGTTGTGTCTCGGAGGACAAGGCCACAGTAAACAAGGAAGAAAGAACAGTTGAGAAGAGGAAAGAAAAAAACACAATAGTTTTTTGCAGACACTGTTTTTCTCATCTTAGCCTATTCAGTAAAACGCTGCAATGTCTGTGCCTTCCCTCTTTTATTCAGTGCTGTGGATGATATTTAAAGCCTTTCCCAGCAGAAGCTTGTCCAAAGACAAGGCCTTGGACTAGAAACTGGGTCTGAATTCTCAGGAAAGCTCCTCCAGTGATTAAACCAGCCACATATTCCTTACCAGCACTGCCTCTTCAAGGCAGAATCCTCTAGTGTATGGATCATTTGAATTAGTTTATGTTAAAGGTTCCTACAGCCCTGGAATTCTAGGATTCTAGGATGTGTATAGAAGAGAAAGCATGAACAAGATGAGCATTGTATTTTTCTGTGACATCTGCTTTCAAGGCCCCTTTTATGAAGAGAAAATGACTGAACAAATCTTTCTTCGATTGTTTCATATATACAAGTGAGACACCTCACAGAGTCAAGTGGACTGCTGGAGATTGCTGTGCCACTCCTGTTGACTGGATGTCTGTGCTGTGTGAGAAAGGGTCCCTGATTGTTCTTCCTGTGCCACTCCTGTTGACTGGATGTCTGTGCTGTGTGTGAAAGGATCCCTGATTGTTTTCCCAGTGCTTCATTATGTCAGTTGGAAGAAAATGCTTGAAATTTGATTTCAACGAGTTTTTTTTTAATGTCCCACTGTGAGCCATTTCCAAGATAGTCTATTGATGCTTGATATATAAGTTCTTGCCTTCTTTAATATTCTACACTTGTGTCTACTGCGGGGAATATAATCAAGATTTTTATTTAATTTCAATGACATTCCAAGTATATATTTCAATGAAAGCATCTGTAAAACAACACCTCGAACAATCAAAACACTGATCACTCTGAGTGCAAACTCCTGAGGGTTTCTGGTCTTCATTGTTGCATAATTAAATTTATTTCTCTCATTATTAAGAAAAACATCGAGTGATTTTACTCATTGGCATGTGTCGTTCAGTTTCAAAATGATAATCCTAAGATAATATTGACAGTGTGTTGAGAAATGTCTTTTTATGCCTAGAAATGTGCTACCCCCAACATCATCCTTTGTTTTTATGTGCATGAGTGTTCTGCTGTATGTGTATTTTTGTGCCACATGTGTGCCTGGTACCTTCAGAAGCCAAAGATGGCATTAGGTCCCCTGGATCTGGATTTACTGACAGTGGATCCTGGGAATCAACCCCAGGGCCTCTGGAAGAGCAACCAGTGCTCTTAACCACTGAGCCATCTCTCCAGCCCTGGACCAACATTCTCATTTATTATAGATTAGGTATTATCCAAAAAGTATTTTCCTATTAGAAAACCAACCAACCTTTGTATATTGTTCTGCACTCAGTTGGTATGTTCCACTCACTTCTTAGTCTAAAATATTACATCTCTGAACTGAATGTTATTAATAGAAAAGGTTAATCCTCATCAATGTTAATTGGACACTTAAGGGGGAATGTAATGACCTGTACATTCATTAGAGTGCCTGTACTATACTAGATGTCTTCATGGATTGTTAGAAATTAAATAGAACTTTGACTTAAAGTGCATCAGTGAATTAAAGAGGTTGTGCACTGTACATACATGTACATACATGTACATACATGTACATACATGTACATATATGACATGAAAACAGAGGAACCTATTTGGGGCAGGAAGGGGCCAAGAAGGAAAAATAGGGATGTGGAGGGCAATATGTGCACAATGTAATCATATATGTATATGAAAATGCCATTAGAGAAACAGTATTTTGTACACAAAATAAAAAATTTGAATATATTGTTTTCAAATAAAAAATTATTCTAGTGACCATGTGCCTTTGGGCTCATGCACTCCGTAATCTAATTCTCCTTTTGCAATTTTTCTTCAGACTTCTTGGAGGGGTGAAAATATTACTTTAGGAAACAAACAGCACAGTATAGTATTTATTTCAGTGTTCCCAATGACTCATAGTTAATCTAAATATTACTGCTACATGAAAAAACTTTTAAGCTGGTTATTGCTCTGTTTTTGAGTCTATAATTCATAAGTCTGTACTCTAAAGATTGAACCTATTTAGTCTCCTCAACATCCTTGGTAATTTTTTATTATGTTTATTTCAAGTTTTTGCAGATAGCATTCCAGTGGGGAAATAGGGAGATTCTTTTGAAGGAATGTTATTTCTCTGACCAAATCATTGCTCTGTTTTGATTCCAACATGTATGCAAAAACACACTGAGTACCTGAAAGCAAGCATGGTCCTTGCATTATCCCAGATATGTTAGCTTTGCAAAATGTGCTCGATCAGATAACTGTCAAGTGGAAATGGCTGCTGGATACACCTGCTCAGTGAAATTACATTATATAGGAACTGAGTGTTTGTTACCCAATGAAAATTAATTTCATTTTTATGAGGGATATTTACATAAGAACAGGGCCTAATGAGACCCAAACAGCTGTCAGTTGCTGACTTCATAAACAAGTCAACACCTAAATCACTGGATGAGTCTCCGAATAATTGAGCAAATGTAACTACAGGAATGCTAAAGGTGGAAAATACAATTTAGTAAGCCTTCATTTACTTTGACTCTTCAGGTTATATAAGCATGGAGAAATGAGTGCATGCCAGTATGCTTTGGTCTTGAAGTTTATGAGAGGAAGCGTTATATTAAGACTCAAGTTTTGTTGCTTTTAGAAATGCATAGTTTGACGTCTGTGTTTTAAATGAAAGTCTGTGTTATGTGGTGACCTCTTCAAAGAAGATGTATGTATGGACAGACAGATGATAGAATGGATTGGCAGATGAAATATCTGTATTGAGGACAGCATTGCACAGTGGTGAGTGTGTAAATCAGTGTGATCACACCTCACCTTCCCTCATGAAATCTGCTGGAGATGGCTCGCACAATTAATTTTTTTCTCACTAAAAAGGAATCCAATCAAATATTCAACTTCTTTTTCCTGGCTCTTCTCCTAGTTGACATCAATATGTAGAGTATGTTTAAGTGAGATAACCTTAAATTCTCTGTGGCAAGGAAATCCCTCTTCAAGAGTTTACGAGCACAAGGATCCCTTCCTTAGCATACACATATGGCTATAAGCACATAAAGTGGAAACCTAAGCAGGGCTCCTCAGTACCCCCACCCAATTTTAGTGCTAAAGGGAGAAAGCCTTCAAAACAAGATTTCCACCAGTACTCAAAAAGGTATCTGTCTATGAGAAAAATAAACACCCACTAAAGGAGTCAGACTTAAAGGGATCCTGAACATCAATCTGTCCATACTCTTTATTGGAGAAATGAGGAACTAGAAACCTCTGGCAGCTTGAAGTACTTAGTAATGATCACACAACTGCTATGCTGTAAAGCTGGAGTCTTGGGAGCCTCACCCTGGTTCCTGGTGCACTCTTCAGTCTGTTACCTTTGGAAGTCAGAACCAGACTCCTCTTGTAATGTGTTTAACTCATCTTTAGCACACTATTTTATAAGCACCTAATTTATTCTATTCCTGTACCAGCTATTGAGATGAATGTTCTCCTTCATCTCAGAAGACCAGGGCCTGGTCAGCTGGTACTCTGGACATGACTCAGATTATATTCAGTTTTAGAAGAATAGAGCAGTCTCTCCTTTTCATGGTAACATGAGTCATCATGTCCTTGAGTTTTCTTTGTCCAATTCTATAGAACACTAGACTCGTCTTACTCACTGTTCTATTGCTGTGAAGAGATGCCATGAACAAGGCAACTCTTATAAAAGAAAGCATTTAATTGGGACTGGCTTACAGTTTCAGAGGTTTAGCCCATTGTCATCATAGTGGGGAACATGGCAGCACACAGGTAGCCAGGGTGCTGGAGAAGTAGCTGAGAGTTCTACATTCTGATCTGCAAGCAGCAGGAAGAGGCTATGGGCCATGTATGTGTGAGCTTTTGGAACCTTAAAGTGCACCCCCAGTGGCACACTTCCTCCAACAAAACCATACCTTCTATTCCTTATCAAGTAGTTCCATTCCTGATGACCAAGCATTGAAATATATGGGCCTCCGAGGCCAACCACCACAGTACTCTAATGAACTCTACTTTTGCTGTAGGCTTTCTAAAAGCCAGTTGGTAATAGTACCATGTAAAGCAAGATGGCTGTTAAGTTATGAGCAAAAGCCACTACCACAGAGATATCTCTGTCTTATTTTCATGACAAGTACTGATACACAAATAAACCTATCTGCTGGGATTGTCCATGGACCCTGGAATCTCCTGCTACAAATAAAAACACAGACCATTAGCAACAGTTCATTGAAAGAATAAACAAATAAATGCTTGGTCTGATTTTTAACTGTTGTACACTTATGGTGTGGTCAGTATGCATAATTGGTGCAGGTTATTATAGATCATTCAAAGAGCGATCAAGTGTATCTACAGAGTGTGCTAGAGAGTGCTGTGATTAACAAAGATAAACACACACAAGAATTCTGCACATTCTTTGCTGTTGCTGCTGCTGCTGCTGCTGCTGTTGTTGCTGTTGATTTTATGTTATTGTATTGTGTTGTTGTGTTGTATTGTTGTGTGGTTATATTGCTGTTGTTATGTTGTTGTGTTGTGTCATGTTGTTATATTGTGCTGTATTGATGTTGTTGTGTTGTTGTTATATTGTTTCGTTGTGTTCTTGTTGTTGTTGCCATGTTATTGTATTGTTGGTAGTGATGGTGATGGTGTTTTAGCACTTTGACAAAAAGAATTTACCACAGATCTCTGGAAAATCCTACGCGTGAAGATTTTTCTGTAAATTTTGCAAAAATGTTTTCAAGCAGTCACAGGCTTTAAGTCTGCTTTTATATATCCCTCAAAGTGTCTTCTTAAGACTCCAACTTCAATGACCTGAGACCCCAAGTGCTTGTGTTCACCTTTTCACCTCTATTTAAAGTCAGCTGGCCCATGAAAGTCAAGCAAGTTTGTGTTTCATAAATAAGCATGTCTTCACATGCAGATGATCTTCTTTCTAAATAACACTTTTCAGTGTGTCTTCTCTACACCAAAATTTCATGCCAAAGGTTTGTTTTATATTCTCAACCAAATTAAAGTTTTCCAATAGTGACTTGTATGATTGTTTTGAGAAATTCTATTACTCTAGGTAAAATATTTTGTATTCTCATCTGTGAAAGGTATACTTCATTTCATAGGTAGCTTTTACTTACGAATGTTCTTTAGTTCTAGAATCAAATTTTTGAGTAACGATAGAAAGACTGGCCTTCTACTTTTTTTGAAATGCTGCAACTAGATTAAGATTGAAGCATAATATGGGCAGGTTCTTTTTCAATTTTCTTTCATGATAGAATTGATGAATTGCAAAATAATTGAGTGGAAATGAAGCCAAAGACAAATGCTGGGAACCCAAACAGATGTTCAGGGAGGGAAGTAGGGGTTGTTATTAGAAAGGTGCTGAACTCTGGTATTTTTAGTGAGAAACACCATAGTTCAACCGGTATTGCCTGTTCTGTTCTTAGGTCCGGTGCCACCCGCTTCCGCTGGAGTCAGAGCTATTACACAGTCCAGGATGAGTGGGCTTTAGACAACATTTACATTGGGCAGCAATGCCCAAACATGTGCAGTGGGCATGGCTCATGTGACCATGGCGTGTGCAGGTATGTGCTCCCGAGAGTATGACCCACTCCTGGGTTTGTTTCTGTGGTTCATGCCAGCAGTTATATTCCCAGTCAGTGCAAAAACTTATACATTACAAAATAGCCAAAAGCAAGCCAGTCTCCCTTCCGTTCTTATTTTTCATGTGAAACATGTTGTTACATGTGAAGTCACATACTCTGAACCTTTAAATCCAAACTCAAAAGAAGCCCTGCTGGGTTTATTGTGAAAGTCCTGCTGGAATTTCCCATCCCTCCCTGATCAACTTCAATTAGGCAAATACTGTATCACTCTCTCCTACACTGCTCAAAGTTGTGCCCACAGGAAGAAAGTGTCCTTAAAGGCCCCAAATATCACCAGCGTGACATGTTAGTTGAATAAATGAGCCTACATATATGATATTTTTAAAGCAATGAGAAATTCCCATCTCTTGCACAAACATAAGCCAATGTATTTTTCTCCATTACTTCTTTATCTTGAATTCCACAATTTTAACATAATACTTCTAACTTAAGATTCTGCTCATCCTGAGGAATGTTAAAGAACTGGCGATAGTGCCATATCATATACACATTAACGCTATAAATAAAATAGCAAGGATGAGACCTGGAGGAACTGTCCTGGGAACATTGTAAGTAGGGAAGCCATTGTGTTTCAGATGACCTGCTTATTATGCACTCCCCACAGGTGTGACCAGGGATACCAGGGCACTGAATGCCACCCAGAAGCTGCACTTCCTTCCACAATTATGTCAGATTTTGAGAACCCAAGCAGTTGGGACTCAGACTGGCAAGAAGTTATTGGGGGAGAAGTTGTAAAACCTGAGCAAGGCTGTGGGGTCGTGTCTTCTGGATCTTCTCTATACTTCAGCAAGGTATGGCTAGGAGTTGAAATGATATGCCATCAGGGTAGTGACTGGTTCGACATGAGACTTGTACACAGGCATCCCAAATTCTACAGGTACAGATATAAAGTGATTTTACTGCTTCTCACACCCTTTACTTTTGACTGGGAATAGCCATATTCCTGTCCCTTTGTGACATTTGGGAAACTCATTTTATTATTGGTTTCAGTTACTTTGAATCTATGTTAAGCCAGATTAGTGTTTCTACAGCATCTATTCTGTGCAGTGCTTGAGACTGACATGGGAGGCAAGCATCTACCACTGAGTGATATCCCAGATTCCCACACATGACAAGACTATTGCATTTGATTTAAATCCTATTGGTTTCCTATACTCCAGTGCTATGCAGGTTTATGTCTTGGGCATCCTTGACTGGAACAGGTTCTTAATCTGTCTTCATTCTTCCCTTTGTAGAATATGGGAGAGAGCAAGCCAGGGGCAACAGATGAACAGGGACAGGGACCAAAGAGCCTAGAGGTTAGGACGAAGCTCTACGTGTGAAATCCTGTCGGTTTCTACCATTTCCTAGCTCTATGACTCTAGGCACATTAGTTAATTGTCTTTTCACGTAGCCTCTTTGTCCATAAAGTGGAGACAATAAGAGAGTCCACTTCATTAGTGTTCTTATATAGATTAAGTTAATGTCAACTGTATAGAAAACTCTATGAATTTGTCATTCTGTAAATCTCAGGAATTTGGTTGGAGGGAGAAAGAAGGATGGTAGGATGGAAGTGTATACCGAGCTATCCCTAGGGGGACTGAGCAGCTATCTGTGTTGGGCAAACATCTTAGAAGCTGTTTTGCTTTAGTTTAGCAACTGCTGGTAGACCCTAGTGAATGGTGCATACAGCTGATCTTGAAATGTTCAGCTATCCTAATTGGAGCACCTAATTTGGCATACGAATTGGTAAATAGCAACAAGGGACCCAGATGCCAGGCAGGACTGCAAAGACTAATTCTCTTTGAATACCCCCAGTCCAGTCCACACTGATTTGCTGAGGTTGAGTGGAGCCTCTTTCCCTCCTCCCATGGCACAGTACAGGCGGTCCATTGTTTTCTGTTCTTCTCTGGTTCATCTCCTATATAAGCATAAAAGATTGGACAGGCTCCAACCCAAGTGTCATGTCTAGCCCTAATTATTGACATCGTCTTTAGGATGTGAAGTGCCTGATGTCACTTCTTTATAGAAGGGATTGCAGTCACCATTTCTGGGACAATTAGAAATGTCTCACTTTATTTACATCCTATAGCAAGTAAGCAGGTGTGAATGATATACCATAGGGCCGATACATTGCAGGATTCGTTTTGGCCAAAATCCAAGACAAGTTAACTCATACAAGTGCAAAAATAGGTTCAGGTTTTGTTTTTATGTAGGTGCAAAACAAAGAATCAGCAAGAAACCAAGACAGGGGAAGGATAGAAACAGGATGGATTCATTTTCTGGCTGTTGACATTGAAAATCCTCTCATTACTGTCTTTAGGGATAATAGCCAATGCATGGCCAATATCCAGTGGAGATGTGGTTCTGCAGAATGGGAGGCTATGCTTGCTGTCAGTATCTGTTTAAAATAACATTTAAAATATAAGTCTTTCACTGGTAAAAGTATGTACATATACATACATGGAAATCTTAAGCGTAAAACTGTCCTGGATTACAAATCAGTATTCCTTCAACTTGATTCAAAGTTATCTGTCTTGAAGTCAGACTGTCCAAGTATACTGTGTTCCAGAGCTCAGGTGCTGGTTGCCTTGGAGAGTTATTTCTGTGTATTTCAGTATTCGTGTCTGTAAAGTGGAAAATTGGGGGTAATAAGTCAGTCAGTGCAGATGAGGAACAAAGACTCTCATTGGGCGTGATACGCATAGTCATCACTGCTACTCTTTTATGAGAATCAATTGTAAATTAGTGCCATATATGCCTTTGTACTTAAAAATCATCATTTCAAAAGTGAAAAATTTCCCTTCATCTCTCAATGCAGCCTTCCCCTCTGGACTTCTGTAAAAAAATCTCAGCCCCTCCCTTTTTTCCTTTTTTTCTTTAGTAGCATCTGTTTAGAATTTTAAGTGGAAAAAAATACCTTAAACCAAAAGAGTAGAAAATTGGGTCCATGCAATCAAATAAGGAAAGCTTAGGTGGACTCTCTGAGTATTTTGTACTCAGAGATCACTTTCCTGTTCCTATGTCAGATGGACTATCACTGGCAAGAGTGGGACTGTCACATTTCCACAGGGAGTGTCTCCAGGTGATACCTCAGTGTCCCAGGAGGATTGCTTCAGAGAACTTTGACTACAGTATCCTGGCAGAGATATGAAATAAGTAGCCGGGCATTCCCCACTACAGAGCATTTGAAATGATGAACAGGCAGCCAAAAAAGAGGCCAAGGTCATGTGCCCACCACCCTAAGTTAATACACCTAAAACCCTGGTCCTCTCCCTTGCTGGACAAGTGTCTGGACTACCCTGTGGCCCTCCTTTCCCAAATGCATCACTTGTATTGGGTTTCCAAGTATGCATTTTCTGCTCCAGCCAGGAATCTCTCCTGATTAAAGGTTGTATGGGTGTCTCTGCCTTTGCTTTGGCTCTACTGCCCTGCCTTCTACCATCTCTGAATTCACATAAGCCTCATCACATTCCACTAATGGCTGCTGTTTCCAGGCAGCTCACAGGAGCTGGGCCCAACTACCTGAGTCACTGTATTCTTGAAATTGTTCTGTAATTGGATACATAACTGATTGTTTAACTTTATTGCTTTTCTGACAGTATCAGGTTGAATGCAGTCTCTATAGTCAAGCTGATCTCTAGATAAATAAAGTGATCAACTCCAAAATGCCTGTCATGATCTAGGCATTTATATCTCAATAGATACTCCAAAGACTAAGTAGTCTTGTCCACATGACTAATAGGAACTCTGCAAGTTAGGAGAGTAGGGCCTGCAGCAACTGTCAGCATCGTCTCTGACAGTCAGTCTGTGGCATCTCTTCATGTTGTTTTATGTGGTATAGTTATTAAAGAGTTAATTAATTTACCTAAAAAGGAGAAACTCTAAAGAAATGATTGTTTTCAGGTAAATATAAGAAGTTTTTCTTGCTAGTGGCATTTTGAATACAAAAAACTAATAAGGTGAAATTTCACAGATTCTTAAAGATTTTGTTATCAGTATATTACCTGATGCCTGATAAAATTTGATTTATTTTAGCTGAACCCTTAAAAGAGGAAGTCATATAAACTCAAATTTGTTTTTCTTCCACATACTGTTCCTCCTGTACAGACCCCGAGGTCTGAAAATACTAGGACATCTGAAGCGTTTCCCACAGTTCTTCAAAACAACCACAAGATAGTTCATACTCATTTAGCCTGTTGTCCCAACACATGTATACAAAAACACATGATGTGCATGTGTGTACACATATGTACATGTATCCATCACCACTGCAAAGTAGGAAAACTTCAAGCAATTATTACATCATATTCTAAATTATGACAAAAATTTTATCATGAGCCTTTTTTCTTTTGAATCAATGTTCAACATTCCAGATTACTGAACAACAACAAAAAAAAATGATGTGTGCTACTTCTCCATGAAAAACCACTCTCGGTGCCAAACCAAGCATTTGTATAATACCATTTGCAAAAGTCCTACAAAAGCAGTTTTCCAAATCCCTCTGTCACCTGGAAGAACAATCCTATGCCGTGGGCTCACAACAGACCCTCATTCCGAACAGCTAATTGAGATAATTGGATTTGTATAATTCTCACCTCAGAGCCTCATCCTTCTGGCTCATTTCCACATGCTGTGTTTTTCATAGAAGCTTGCTAGATTGAAATGAACCTGCTAACACTTGGAGGTTTTTTTTTTTTTAACAAACATCACTCTGTCTATGGTGGTCCTGGGGTATGAAAAAACAGGTGTTTCTCATTTACCATATTTCAAATGAACAGTTTAAAACAATACAAAGCACATACAAGAGTTCCCAATTCATGCTAGAAATTGAAGGTTTAAAGAATGAACCCCTACATCGGAGTCACCTTCAGTGGTCATTTGCAGATACCCTGATTTCTTTCAGACTCTTAATTGGTTTTAAAACTCTTACTAGCTTAATTGCTCCACATATATCCACCTCTGTGACTTACAGTGACAGAAAAACTCTCCCTGAGTGAAGCTAGGAGATAAAACTAGGTATTTGTGTAACTGTGTGGGAGTTTCACTCTAATCTACATGTATCACCTCTGTTTTCCTTCCTGACTTCTGATCAAACTCCCAGGTATCCTCTAAGGCCAAAGAAGTCCACTGATTAACTCTGGTAGAACCTAGCTAGGTGGGAGAGTCTCACAATGCACCTTTTTGTTCCACCATAGCTTGAAGCCACTATACAGAACTGGAATAACAACTGCTTGTCAACCAGTGTCCGACCCCTCATAGTGGCATACTGACACATAGGGACAGAGCAAAGAGAAGGAAATGGGCTTCTGGACTTCAGGATATGTCTAACACTTTAGGACAGAAGAGACTGTTGGATGGTTTCAAAGTTCACTTAAATGGTACCTCATACCATCTTATCTGAGAGTGAACAAGGCAGGTGGAGAGATTGTAAGACTTCCTTTTTGCCAAGAGGCTTCTGTCCTGCCCACTTCACTTTAACTTGCTCTGGAGATAAGGGCTGTGAGCAGGTCTCTGGGAAAAATATACCTTCAAGAATGCAAGCAGAATTCCAGACACCTTACATACATGTCACATGTTATTTAATCCAATTGTCACAACACTATAAGGAAAGTATCATTACACACATTGCACCTCTGAAGAATATAAAAGCTCAGGAAGGCCACACAGCTTGTGAACAGGATGAGTAAGAGACTGAGAGTCAAGCCCAGCCCACTTGAAGGTCAACTCAGCCATAAATGCTTGCCTTTGAAGCACGAGGACCTGAGTTCAATCCCCTGAACCCACATGAATAATAAAACTAAACAAAAAAAACCCCACTACCCAGGCATATTAACACGCCTTTCATCCCAGTACTGAAGAGGCAGAGGGAGAGAGATCTTTGTGAATCTGAGGCCAACCTGGTCTACATAGTTTCAGACAAACAAAGTCTGCACAGTGAGACTCTGTCTCAAAATATATACTAATAAAATTAATAATATAATTAATTAATTAATTAATTAGTTAAAATAAGAGCAGGTGGGGTGATATATGCTTGCTCTCAGCACTGGGAAGGGGAATAGAGACAAGCATATTCCTAGAGCTCACTGGCCAACCAGTCTAGCCTAGTTGGCAAGTTCCAAGCCAAAGAGAAACCATGTCTAAAACTAAACAGATAAACATGGATGTTGCATAGGTGATGGCACCTAGGCTTGTCTTCTGGTCCTTGCATTCATAAGCATTCATGTGTACATGAACAAACATACATGCAACTAGTCAATGGTCTTTCTTCTCTATTGCTCTGACATTCGAAGACTTAAAAAGCCAGGATTGTGTTCTTTGGTATAGTGGGAGAGTCTCAAGTCTCACAGCTGCATCTGGGTGTCAGTGATTGGAGATGAAGCGAGAGCATCCAGGAACAGGAATCACAGGCACAGCAGAGACAACAGAAGAGCAGAACTGCTCTTCTAAGTATTAACAGGTCCCAGAATTGTCTTCTATAGTGCAGGGTGCTCATGTGGACTTGAAACCAAGCTATAAAATACCAGAGCTTCCCAGTAAATGACTTGGTTCTTCTGCCCTTTGAAAGGCTGGGAAGAGGCAGCTGGTGAGCTGGGATCTGGACACGTCTTGGGTGGACTTCGTCCAGTTCTACATCCAGATCGGTGGAGAGAGTGCTGCATGCAACAAGCCTGACAGCAGAGAGGAGGGTATCCTCCTCCAGTATAGCAACAATGGTGGCATCCAGTGGCACCTGCTGGCAGAGATGTACTTTTCAGACTTCAGCAAACCCAGGTAAGCTCCCATCTGGTGAACCTTCCATTGTCTTTCAGTGATGGTAGATGTTGAATTGTTATTAAAACATATCTAAAACATTGACAGTTCCAGAAGCTCATGAAGATTTGGGAGAAAAGCCAAATCTAAAAGTTTTTCATCTAAATGATTAAACAAAAACCACTTTGGACTCATATTTAATTCTTTAGAAATGTTAGCTGGGTATAGTAACACAAGCTACCAAAGCACTTCTAAAGCTATGGCAGGAGGATCTCCATGAATTCCAAACAGTCAAGGCTACAGTGAGATCTTGTCTCAAAAAGATTAAAACTGGTTTTAGAGATTTGGAAAATTTTTTGACTCCAAGAAAATCACTAACCACTGATACCCAAAGACGCTCGAGGAAACAGCATAGCTTTGCCTGCTTTGCCTTTGAAGATTTGCTTTTGTTCTGTGGCACACACAGTACAGTTACACAAGATGGAATTTATTTTGTCCTGCATTTCATACACTATACCCAGGGATGGCCCTAGATGGTGTGTGACCAAGTCTATAGAGTTTGGGTTTTCTAAAGCTGTTATGTAACTTATCCAGGCTTTATTTAGATAACTAACGCGTATATAGAAATCTGAAATGACACAGACAACAACTATTCATGAGTTCAGGGCAATAATTCACATTTAATGATAATGCCTATACCAGGCAATTGGCATATTATGTGTATTAAAACTTGGTTCTATTGTGATTGTGTAGTATTTGAAATTATGTTTAATCTTTATATTTTATATGAACATAACATAGAACTACTCAAGAAAACACTTTTTAGAGTATGTCTTTTATAATCTTTTACTTCTAGTTTAATGTGGAGATAAAATTCTTTTTTATATATTAACCACCAATCAATATTAATTTACATTAATGTCCTGTTTTACACATTATAACTAAGCCTTGTGTTGAAAAAATATTGAAGAAAATACATATTTAATTTTTATAAATCAAATGTATCTTGCTACCTAAATTTTACATATTTTGTGGATTGGGAGTTTATAAGTTTCCTGTTTTTTTAAAAAAATGGTCCTCTTAAAGGTGACACAACTTTCTATAGAATTCTACTCCAAATATTGTTTTAGCCAGTGTTCTACAGCTGTGAGGAGACGCCATGACCATGGTAACTCTTACAAAAGAAAGCATTTAATTGGGGCCTGCTTACAGCTTCAATGGTTTAGTCCATTATCCTCATGGCATGCAGCAAGCAGACATAGAGCTGAGTTCTATACTGCAATCTGCAGGCAGCAGGGGAGGAGAGAATCTGAGCTCGGCAGGGCCTCTGAAACCTCGAAGCCCACCTGCAGTGACACACTGCCTCCAACAAGGCCACGCCTACTAATCTTTTCTAACAGTTTCCACTCCCAGGAGACAAAGCTTTCCAATCTATTGAAACCACCACAAATACTATACACAATTTTTAATTTAATTAAGCACAGTGGCTTATACATATAAAAACTAGTATTGAGAAGGCTAAGGCAAGAGGATCATGAGTTGGATCACAACCTGGGCTTTAGAGCAAGTTTCAGGAGGACCTGTAAAAAAATATAATAATAATAATTAATAATAATAATATAAATAGAAAAGAATAAATTGCGGAGGACTAGGTGGTGCATGAGAACTTGAGTTTGCGTCCCCAGGACCCACAAGAAAAGCCAGACATAGTAATGATGCTTGTGATCCCAGTGGTAGAAAGATAGAAGACAGGACAGGAGGGGCCTAGAGTTCACCGGCCAGGCATCCTGTGCCACTTAGCAAAATTCCTGGCCAGTGAAAGACTCTGTCTCAAAACAAAGATGGGAAGTATCAAGAACCAACACCTAAAGTTGTTCTCTGTCCTCCACATGCACACATGCACATGCATACATGCTCAGTGTATACACACACACACACACACACACACTAATGTATACAAACACCAGTGGACAGAGGTACACATATACACACACATGATATATACAAACAAGTGCACAGACATATACACATATGCACACACCAATGCACAGTGACACACATGACATATACACACCATGCACAGAGACATACATATACACACACGTGACATACACACACCAGTACACAGAGACACATATGCATATATACACCAATGCAGAGACACATGTGTACACATATACACACATGTATATACATACCAGTGCACAGAGATACATATGCATGCACAAACAATAAATAAATAAAAATATTTCATTTGTGAAAATTTTTATGGAAGGCTAGATACAGACTTTAGATGATACTAAGCTGATAAAGAAACTTTGAACAGAAAGATATGAGAAAAGACTCTGATGGCAGTGAATAACAAGAAATATGGGAAATGACTTTAACAGACAGACAATACTGACTGGGAACAGCTGTGTAGAAAATGGTAAAGCTACACTAAGGCCTCTGAACACTAAAGACAACAAAGAAGTGGGACATAGTGTAGACGTCGCAAAGAGGAAATCTGAAAATCACAGATGAAGATACCTCTTTGTTTATGTTTGATTCCCACTCGCAGTGTGCTTTGTGTCTAGAAATAGAAGCTAACAAAGCAACCTAAATTTGGAGAACATAAATAAAAAGTAATATACATTATACTTTTTAAAATCCTAAAATGAAAAGACACTGGACAAGGAATGAAGCCAAATAGATGACCCAGAAATTGACTCGAGTGAATAGGGGCCAGGGAGATAGCTCAGTCAGTAAGACTGTGCAAGAGGGATGGCCAGGGAGATAGCTCAGTCAGTAAGACTGTGCAAGAGGGATGGCCAGGGAGATAGCTCAGTCAGTAAGACTTGTGCAAGAGGGATGGCCAGGGAGATGATAGCTCAGTCAGTAAGACTGTGCAAGAGGGATGGCCAAGGAGATAGCTCAGTCAGTAAGACTGTGCAAGAGGGATGGCCAGGGAGATG